CCTGTGTTGTGGAGATCCTGCAGCCTTGGGTCCACAGGTCAGGTCTCTGACCGTGCTCCAGCAGATCACAGATGGGGTGGATGATGGCTTGGGCCAACTCATAGCCCTGGTTTTGGGTGTGGGTGGATGCTGGATTGGTCAACCTGCCAGCTCTCCTTCGTCTTCAACACCAGGGTGAGCTCTCCAGCACTGAGCCGGCTAGGCTTGCTCACCTTATTTAGTGAGAAGCAAGTGGCAGAGCTGCTTCTGCTCTCCTGTCCTCTGGTCGGCTCTATACCCCCAGGGCCAGCTCTGCTGTGTTGCCCAGGCAAGGTGTTGGGGCCACTCTGCCCAGTGCTGCAGCTGGTGAGACGCAGGGCCACCTAGTTAGCTATTGTATACCTGTATCTGTCCACCTATCTGTCCATCCATCTGATATGCAATATACATATGTTCATGACAAAGAGGGTTTAGTCTTCCTGCAAAATTCAGGTTCAGCAAGTCCAGCTCCGAGGAGCTCACACTGAAAAGATCTACCCTTTGCTCCACAGCCCTTATACACTTGATCGTTTTCATCTGCATTGGGCATAAATCGGTGTTTTCTTTTTAAATAATGGAAGCTTGGGGGTTGGTGGGGGAATGGGAGGACAAGAGGGAGGGGAACTGGGATTGGTATGTAAAATAAGATTGTTTTTAATTTAAATAAAAATTAATTTCATAAAAGCATGGAAGCTTAGTCAGTGGCCAAGGATTACTTCACAGAAACATGTCTACCGTGCCTCAGTTTCATAGCGAAAAGCGTGGGGAAGTGTGGTTTTAGTAATGGACCATTTCATCATTTTTCCCTCTGACCTACTATATGTGCACCAGAGCCAAGTCAGCTGAAAAAGAAAGTGTATAAGCCAAGGGCCACTTTCTCATCCTGTCCCCGAAACTCCTGCAGCCAACACACATCTCATCTACCCAATGTGGAGTGTTGTGAAAGGAAAAGGCTTCAGCAACCAGTCCCATAAAACACAGGCTGCCTTCTTCCATAGCATCAATACCTGGCTAGCTAATTCACTGTCTGGAGGATGAAAAAGGGCACGGGGGGGGGGGGGGAAGGTGAGAATAGCCAGCAAGTCTCAGCTGATGAGCTTACACCCTTTTAGAGCATTTACTATTGGTAAAAAAAACAAGGGAAATGACCTGGCCCACCAGCAAACCATTACGAAGATGTAAAAAATGAGGCATGAACTCTCTAACACGCCCCCACCCCCTGCCCATGTTCTTTCCATGGTCAGCCTTCTAATTAGTGCTTCAATTGCAAAGCTAGTTCAGGTTTTATGCTATGAAAAATATTTAAGAGTTAAAACTACAATTACCTGTGTTTATCAGGGGAAGATGCTTCAATATTAAAGAAACCATCGAAAGGGCGGAAGTTTAGAAGAATTTCAGGCTTTACATTTGGCTTTAAGTGTTGGGATGAACATGGGGAAGGCCACTTCTAAAAGGGAAAATGAACTTATCTTTTTGCTCTGGGAGAAAGCAGAGATGAACAGCCTTTTCTCTTCTAAAAGTCCGTAACAAGTTATGTAAAAGGTATTTTAAAGGATAGGTAGCCAGGACTTTACTTCGAAACCAGTTAATGGCAAAGTTCCTTAAGGGTTAGTGATGGAAGGTTATGTCGGCTTCCCCTCCGAGCCCCGGGACCCCATCTGGCTTGGACCAGTGTATGTCCCAGTGCTGCCACCGTCTCTGTGAGGGTCTATGTGTATCATCCCTGCTTCGTGTAGAAGGGCTTGTCCCCTTGATGCCTTCTGCCCCTCCTAGCTCTTACAATCCTTCTGCCTCTTATGCGGACTTCCCAGAGTTCACGGGAAAGGGTTTGATGGAGACACCCCCATTTAGGACTGAGTTTTCCAATGTCTCCTGCTGTGAAATAATCCTGTACACTGTGAAAACGTGCTGCTCTCATTGTTAATAAAAAAGCTGACTGGCTGATAGCTGGGCAGGACATATAGGCCGGACAGCCAAACTCAGAATGCTGGGAGGAAGAAGGGAGAAGTTGGTGGAGTCACCAGGAGACAAAGAGGAAGCAAGACATGCTGGAGGACAATTAAAGCCATGAGCCACATGGCAAGGCATAGATAAGAAATACGGGTTAGTTTAAATGGAAGAGTTAGTTAGTAACAAGCCTGGGCCATCAGCCGAGCATTTACATTTAATGTAAGCCTCAGTGCATATTTGAGGGGACAGAAATTTCCATCAAAAGCCTCCCACTCTCTGCACATTGCCCAGCTGTCGGTCTCCGAATTTGTTCCCACCTACCTCAAGAACTTCTCTGATGATGGCTGAACAAGACACTGATCTACTGAAGAGTGCCACTAGGAGTCATTTTACTGCTGCATTCCATCACCAGAAGTGTTTTGTTTTCTCCTAGGTCTGCCAGGTCCCTCTGGTTCTTGGGCTTCTGAGCAGTGTCAGGCATAGGCTCCTTCTCATGGAGTGGGCCTTAAATCCACTCACATGGTGGCTGGTCAGCCCCCAACTCTTGTGCTACCTTTGCACCAGCATTTCATATGGCAGTTCCCCACTGTAGACTCAAGGGTTTGTAACTAGGTTGATGTTCACTGTTTTCCTTTGGTAGCGTGTAGAGTACCTTCCAGTGCCACAAATGCTATTCAGTAGGGGTGGAGGCTCTAGGTAGGAATGTCTGTGTTCACTGAGTTATGTAAGTGTAGAACCTTACGATCAGTTTGTGTAGAGCTACAGCCTTGACGATAGTCTGGATTGTTTGAAGGTTCCCAAGGGACCCCTTTGGCCAATGGCTCAGTAAGATGTAACCCATTCCTGACACTGGATGTTTCATTTGGTGGTGAGAGATGTCTAACTGGGGCTTGGTCTCCCCAGTTACTTGGTGAGTCCATTTAGATTTCTTTCATATATGTAAAAAATTTAAGAAATTTCAACAGGCCATGAAGCTATCACCAACAGGAAACTACTCACAAAGGAAAAAGTTAGTTTTCTCCAATGGAGTCCCACTGGGTATACAAACCACACTTAATGGCATGTCCCAAGCCAGTAGTAGATGGCCAACAGAAAACTAACTCACTAGTGGTTTTTGTCTCTTAACTCTTTGTCTGGGTAATTTTTTAACCTTACAGATCTTATATTGTGGTTTTGGATTTTGTGATTTGATGGGATGTGTGTGTGTGTGTGTGTGTGTGTGTGTGTGCTTTTTCTTTGGCTCTATTTTTTTGTTTTGTCCTGTTGAGTTTTTGTTGTTTTGCCTGTTCATTTTCTGCTGGGAGAGGGTAAAGGGTATAGATTTGGGTGAGTGGGAAGGTGGGGAGAATCTAGGAGTTGGGAGAGGGGAAACTGTGATCAGAATATAGTGCATGAAAAAAATCTACTATCAATAAAGATAAAAATTATATTAAAAACATTTTTGGCCACTTTATATAAAAATGGAATCAGCAAAATCAGAGGTCACAGTAGCATGCTATAGTTTAAGTTCCCCTCTGATGCTTACCAGGAAACACGCACTGCACAGGTATGTCCTGCCTTCCTGTTAGATGTACAGTCAGCCAAGATCCTCCCCATCCTGTGGGCTTCCTCCTCACTCACTGTTTCTTTAGTTTCATGAAATCCCATTGTCAACTATCAGCCTCAATTCCTGGGCAAATGGAGTCCTATTCGGAAAGCCCTTGTACACCTGTATCCAGTAGGTTAATGCTGTTTTCTTCTAGCACTTTTGATGTTTTAGTTTTCACAGAAACACTGAATTCCTAAAAAAACTAAAACTCATTTACAATTTCTTTCTTTATTGCTTTAACTTCTTTAATACTTTGTCTTGCCAGTTTCACTTCTGTTGTGAAAGCTTTTTTTTCCACTACTTACTTCTGAAATTAAGTATAAATTTAACACGGCTTTTCCTGGGCACCGAGCTGATGCTCTTGTCTATTAAGGATAATATTGTTGACCCTTGGCAATAAAAACAAAAAGCCCGATTAATATGTCTATTATCTTCTGGCAAGATTCCCCGCTGGTCTCCAACCTAGCTGTTCTATTTCCACCTGGTCAACACAAAACAACAACAAGCTGCTCACAGCAGCAAGTCCAGTAAAGACAAAACTCTTCAACAGAAGAAGCTGAGAAGTTTTTATAAAACTAACTGGAACTTGTACCACAACAAGACTTAAAATAGTCCACAAAACCTGAAGATATTTACAGCAACCTTACTGACAGTCACCAAAACTCAGACATGCCCTCTGGTAAAGAAACAGAAAAGCATCTTTGGTACATCGAGGTAGACCAGAGCTAAAAAGAAATGGGATGATCAAACAATGAAAATGCATGTAGGTAGCCTTAAAGGATTATTCATGGCAGTAGCCAATCCAGAGCATCAGATTTCAACTGTGACATCCCAGCAACAGAAATGCTTAGGTCACTCTAAGATTCACACTTGCCAGTGGGAAGAGAGCTGGGCTGAATAGGAGAAGCAATAGATTTTTAGAGCAGCAGCAATACTGTGTGTGATGTTATAATAATGTCATACACATGTACTTAAGCCAGTGAGTCTAAATGTAAATTATGGGTGATGACACCATGTCAATGACCTTCATGAACTGCTGTGGACTACTCTGGTAGTAGATGTTGACCATGGGTAAGGATAAGTACTTAGAGAGATGGTTGAAATTCAAAACCTCATACCTTTCTCCCCAATTAATATTGCTGATGCTAAAACTATTCCCCCAGCAACCCCCAAAAACCTAAAAGGATGGGTATGGAGGGAAAGGAGAAGTTACACCCAGGCATCAGAGCTTGCTTTGTGAGCCCCTGACTTCCCACCATTACCTGTATCTCCAAATGGGTATTCTCTCTATACTGAGTTCTCTGGCTCTGAATGTTAAAATCCTCCAGGAAGAAGATGCTTGAAGTCTGATAATTTGTGGAAGTTGATAATCAATTTAGAGCAAAGAAGGAGTATGTGACCTTCTGACATATTAATTACAAATTAGTATTTAAATCACTGCATATTCTGAGAAATAAGTCAAAGTATTTATTTATGACATATTTACATACTTACAAAATTGATTTTATCCAATACATCACTCTACATAATATCACAAAATGAATACAATATCCTAGGAAAACTCTACACTTTGTAATAATTTATGTTTAACTCAACAATTTTTACAACAGATTATCAATTTGGCTTCACAAATCACACAGTCCTTAGTTTTTGTTTTCCTTTTGCCAAATAACACGAGTAAAGTAAAGGGGAGGTGAAGTAATTTAGTTGACCCTGAGTAACTGCTAATTTGCATAATTCAGAGCACATGTGCATGTGTGCTTTCATTTGTTTTCTTGTATGCCTACACTTAAGATGGCAGTATCTTACCTCTAAAGACTGAGGAAAGAAGACTGGAAAACAATGACAAGGGATCAGTAGGGACAACTCCCAGATTCTAAAACTTTTCCAACTGCAGAAGTCCATGGTAGAGCTTCAGTAGAGCTGTCTCAAAAACTGAGTAGGGTCTTGGGGCTGAGGCCGAGGCCGGGGCTCTTGAGCAGTGTGGAGTGCTGGCCTACAGTAAATGATGCTCTCAGCTCCCACCTAGCATTGTTACAAGCCAACCAGGCCAGAGCAAAACAAGAAAAGCAACAAAACAGAATAGGCCGACCTAGGAACTAAACAGCTGAGCAGTCTTGTGAGGCTGATGTTAAATTATTTTTCTTACTGATAAAAATAAAAATTCAATAATGCCAACACTGTGACAATTATGATTTTTTTCCTTGAAGGCCTGAAAAATGCAGCAGCCACCCACAAACCCCCTAAAAATGTCAGTGTGGAAGTTATACAAAAACAGGCAGGAAGAGAAAGGGGCCAAGAACAGAAGGCCTGGGAAGAGAATCATGCTTTGAACTGTCCAGGTCTAGATGGCACCATGCAGACTGAGGAGGGGACTCCCGATGACAAGGGTTAGGGAAGATGAGAGGTGGAGTCAGCCCCGCTCTGACACCCGCCAGAGAGAACCCTGGGCCAGAGGAAACCATCTACAGAAGGGTCACATTGGGTCAAACAGTTCTCTCTTTCATCTGCCCTTCATCCCTGCTCCCCTCCTCACAGAAGGCAGACTAGGTAACTATGGTTCTCCACTTTCAATCAAGCCCTGGCATAAATCTGCCATGGTTATTTAGGACTCAAGGAAAGCCGTCACCCAATGAGATGTCAGTGACCCCCACTGATTCTACTGGAATGACCCTCTGAAACAGTAACTAAGGTAACACAGATTCAATAAAACAAGGAAGGGAAGAAATAGAGTACCATCAGGATCTGCAAAACTAGCCTATGGAGTATAACAAAACACCACCATCCAGGCAACACCCCATCAAATACTGTTAAGACAAGAACAGTTCCCCCTGCCGATCGTGTGTGTGTGTGTGTGTGTGTGTGTGTGTGTGTGTGTGTGTGTGTGTGTGTGTGTGTGTGTTCTGGGGACTGACCCTAGGGTGTGACATTAGCTAGTGTTCCATCACAGAGCTGCATCCCCAGACCCAAAGGACAGTTTTTAAAAACTGCACAGCAGCAAGTGATAAGGCTCTGCGTTTTATGCAAGAAGAATCAATGAGAAGTACTGGATTAACCTGGGCCAGGTACATCACCACAGCCAGACTTCCTTCCTGTCTAACTAAGCAACACACACAGTGCTTGGGGATTAATTAACACAGACCCACCTCAAAAGTAGTAATTCTCCTCCTTCTGTAAAAGCAGCAGCAATGGCATCACTGCCGCCAAGCATAATGGAACAGCACACTGTGCATGTGAGGACAGAGAAGAGTAAGTACAGAGTCGATTAACTCTGATACTACAGAACTGTATCGACAAGGACAGCAAAGTTAAATTACATTTCTGTACCAAATTGTCTTCAGGAAGATACTTGAATTGCATATACAGAGTTCAACTATGTTAGAAAAAAATTTACTTAATTTTGACTTATTTAAATCTCCAAATGGTAAAATATATTATTTCAGGGAGGAAAAAGCATCCAGTAAATGCAATGGATTAAAGAAACTACATTGAATATAAAATCATTCCCTTGAAAACATCCATAGGAAATAAAGGCAGGAGGGCACAGTTAGAAAAGTCTAGCTGAGCTTAAGGCAAACCAAGAAACCACGTTAATCTACACAGGGTCCAGCCAGTCAACATCCAGCTCATGACTCCCCACCCCCCCCCAGGCTGGGGAGTTATTAGGAGTTGACAGATTCTGAAGGACAGTAAATTTTCAAGGGTGTAGTCCCTTGTAGGTCAACTGGTTGCTAGCCTCACACCTATTTGGGCAGTAGAAATTGGACTTGGTGGGATGTTAAAAAAAAAAAAAGAGGCCAAGAAGGGGAGCACGTGGTGGGAATGGAAGAGTTAGGGGAGGGGTGGGAGGTGAGTGCTATTAAAGCACACTGAATGGGCTTCTCAAATAATACAAACAGCAACTTTAAATAAAGAAAACGCACTCCATCCCAAAAGAAGGGGCCCCCTTCTTACAGCGTAGAGGCTGTGGCTGGATGCAGGAAGAACAGCTATCATGAAAACTGAATTGTGGAAGTGCTCATACCACTGTACAAAAATAACATGAGGGGGCTGGAAAGATGGTTCAGTGGTTACGGACATTGATTGCTGTTCTAGAAGAGCAAGGTTCGATACCCAGCACCCACATGGTTGCTCACAACCAACTATGACTCCAGTTTTAGGGTTCTGATGCCCTCTTCTGGCCTCGCTGGGCACTGTACACACATGGTGCATAGACACACACGCAAGCAAAACAACAATACACAATTTTTTTAAATCTCAAAGCAAAATAAAAAAAAATAAGATGAATAACTTCTGATCTAAAATAAACTTGGTTGATAGTTCTTACATAGCAACAAAGAAAAATGTTACTTTCCACTCTTCGTAGTATAAATCTATAAAATGTGAAAATTTAAAACAAAAAAGAAACAAGTATAACTTCCAAACTATACATGTACATAATGACAAAAAATAATCTCCATTCTGTTAATTTGGCCCATATTCTATAAGACACATGGAACTGTATACACATACATACACAGCAAGCATGTAGGTCCATTATTGAGCATGTGCACTGCTCACCATTAAACCTGAGATCACATTCGCATACAGATGACAACAGGAAACAAGCCTTAGCCAGATACTTAACACACTGACCTCATTACATATTCTTAAGAAACCAGAAGAGCCAAGGACAATCAAATATATGAACTCGGATTTCCACTTTATAAGTTTGGTATAGTGAACTGTGCTGTAAATGTATGTGTATGTGTTTTGAGAACTAGGATGTATGAAATCATGACAGTAAAAAGAGGACCTACTTCTTTTGTTTTACTGGAATGACACTGTGCCTTTATTTTTAAAAAATCTCTTTTAAAAGGACTGCAGCCTATAGGAAAATTGTAAAAGCTGTTGGATTCTCTGAAGCTATCCAGTCTCCTCTAACACAGAGCCAAAGGTGACAGCAGGTCTCCATTTCGCAGCAGCTGGTCTCACATGGGCCTGGGTGGCAGGCGCTGCTTGTACATGCCCGCCACAGCCTTGGCTGCACTGTAGATCATCTGTCGGCGAGACATGCCAGTGAAAGCAAGGTGCCAATCAGTCCGGGTGACGTTTAGCAAGCTCTTTTCCAGGACTTCACCCACTGTCACCAATAGACCTGACCACCTCAGATTGTAGTCCTGGGGAGTCAGGCTTTGCGCCTATGGAAAAAGGAACGCGAGTTACTTATCACATGTCAAAACAACACTGGAACTCAATATGTTAGGAATGAGTCAAGACCTCAACGTCTTGACTCAGCTTATTTTTAATATAGATTATGACCACCCTCAAAAACTCAGCTCTGCTACCAACAACTGTATAAAGTTACAAGGGTCAAAGGCACCAAACAATATTGCACACACCTGCTGTGTTAATAATAGCCCATCACACTATTCAAATATAATCTAGTCTCTTCGTAATTTATATTTTTAGTGGTGCTGAGGCTGAGCCACATGGTTGAGTGCACGTCTAAGTCTTGAAAGAACTCCACCTGCTCCCAACTCACTCTGAGGGCTTAAACTAGAGTTCTACATTCAGGGTCATGCCATGTCAATAACAGGTTTGTGTTAAAATGATATTCCCAGCAGAGAGAGACTGCACATTGATTCATTCGTTCATTTAAGACAGGATCTGTGCACAGATCCCCAACTAGCTGCTTCACAATCACCGGACGGGCTTTCTTTTCACCTTGAAAAAAAGTTTCTTAGGCTCAAATTAGTTGTCTTAGGACAGCAAAATTGCAAACACTACAGCTTATTCCAAGACAATAAAGAGCTGCATCAAATAGCTTCCCAGAAACCCTGACAGACGTTGTCTTTGCACTACCAGCATTGTAGTAGGCTTCAAAATAGACATCAGGTCTTCCAAGACCCTGGGAAGCTGCTCCTCACACACCACTCAAGTCCATGGGCGTCTGCTCCTCACACACCACACAAGTCCATGGGAGCCTGCTCCTCACACACCACTCAAGTTCATGGTCGCCTGCTCCTCACACACCACACAAGTTCATGGGAGCCTGCTCCTCTCACACCACACAAGTTTCCAAGAGTCTGCTCCTCCCACACCACTCAAGTTCATGGGAGCCTGCTCCTCCCACACCACTCAAGTTCATGGGCGTCTGCTCCTCACACACCACACAAGTCCATGGGAGCCTGCTCCTCCCACACCACTCAAGTTCCCAGGAGTCTGCTCCTCCCACACCACACAAGTCCATTGGAGCCTGCTCCTCACACACCACTCAAGTTCCCAGGAGTCTGCTCCTCCCACACCACACAAGTTCATGGGAGCCTGCTCCTCCCACACCACTCAAGTTCATAGGCGTCTGCTCCTCACACACCACTCAAGTTCATGGGCGTCTGCTCCTCACACACCACACAAGTCCATGGGAGCCTGCTCCTCCCACACCACTCAAGTTCATAGGCGTCTGCTCCTCACACACCACTCAAGTTCCCAGGAGTCTGCTCCTCACACACCACACAAGTCCATGGGAGCCTGCTCCTCCCACACCACTCAAGTTCATAGGCGTCTGCTCCTCCCACACCACTCAAGTTCATGGGCGTCTGCTCCTCACACACCACACAAGTCCATGGGAGCCTGCTCCTCCCACACCACTCAAGTTCATAGGCGTCTGCTCCTCACACACCACTCAAGTTCCCAGGAGTCTGCTCCTCACACACCACACAAGTCCATGGGAGCCTGCTCCTCCCACACCACTCAAGTTCATAGGCGTCTGCTCCTCACACACCACTCAAGTTCCCAGGAGTCTGCTCCTCACATACCACACAAGTCCATTGGAGCCTGCTCCTCACACACCACTCAAGTTCATGGGCGTCTGCTCCTCACACACCACACAAGTCCATGGGAGCCTGCTCCTCACACACCACTCAAGTTCATAGGCGTCTGCTCCTCACACACCACTCAAGTTCCCAGGAGTCTGCTCCTCACACACCACACAAGTCCATGGGCGTCTGCTCCTCCCACACCACTCAAGTTCACGGGCGTCTGCTCCTCACACACCACACAAGTCCATTGGAGCCTGCTCCTCACACACCACTCAAGTTCATGGGCGTCTGCTCCTCACACACCACACAAGTCCATGGGAGCCTGCTCCTCCCACACCACTCAAGTTCATAGGCGTCTGCTCCTCACACACCACTCAAGTTCATAGGCGTCTGCTCCTCACACACCACACAAGTCCATGGGAGCCTGCTCCTCACACACCACTCAAGTTCATAGGCGTCTGCTCCTCACACACCACTCAAGTTCCCAGGAGTCTGCTCCTCACACACCACACAAGTCCATGGGAGCCTGCTCCTCCCACACCACTCAAGTTCATAGGCGTCTGCTCCTCACACACCACTCAAGTTCCCAGGAGTCTGCTCCTCACATACCACACAAGTCCATTGGAGCCTGCTCCTCACACACCACTCAAGTTCATGGGCGTCTGCTCCTCACACACCACACAAGTCCATGGGAGCCTGCTCCTCACACACCACTCAAGTTCATAGGCGTCTGCTCCTCACACACCACACAAGTCCATTGGAGCCTGCTCCTCACACACCACTCAAGTTCATGGGCGTCTGCTCCTCACACACCACACAAGTCCATGGGCGTCTGCTCCTCACACACCACTCAAGTTCCCAGGAGTCTGCTCCTCACACACCACACAAGTCCATGGGCGTCTGCTCCTCCCACACCACTCAAGTTCACGGGCGTCTGCTCCTCACACACCACACAAGTCCATTGGAGCCTGCTCCTCACACACCACTCAAGTTCATAGGCGTCTGCTCCTCACACACCACTCAAGTTCCCAGGAGTCTGCTCCTCACACACCACACAAGTCCATGGGAGCCTGCTCCTCCCACACCACTCAAGTTCATAGGCGTCTGCTCCTCACACACCACTCAAGTTCCCAGGAGTCTGCTCCTCACACACCACACAAGTCCATGGGAGCCTGCTCCTCACACACCACTCAAGTTCATGGGCGTCTGCTCCTCACACACCACACAAGTCCATGGGAGCCTGCTCCTCCCACACCACTCAAGTTCATAGGCGTCTGCTCCTCACACACCACTCAAGTTCCCAGGAGTCTGCTCCTCCCACACCACACAAGTCCATGGGCGTCTGCTCCTCACACACCACTCAAGTTCCCAGGAGTCTGCTCCTCACACACCACACAAGTCCATGGGCGTCTGCTCCTCCCACACCACTCAAGTTCACGGGCGTCTGCTCCTCACACACCACACAAGTCCATTGGAGCCTGCTCCTCACACACCACTCAAGTTCATGGGCGTCTGCTCCTCACACACCACACAAGTCCATGGGAGCCTGCTCCTCACACACCACTCAAGTTCATAGGCGTCTGCTCCTCACACACCACTCAAGTTCATGGGCGTCTGCTCCTCACACACCACACAAGTCCATGGGCGTCTGCTCCTCACACACCACTCAAGTTCCCAGGAGTCTGCTCCTCACACACCACACAAGTCCATGGGCGTCTGCTCCTCCCACACCACTCAAGTTCACGGGCGTCTGCTCCTCCCACACCACACAAGTCCATTGGAGCCTGCTCCTCACACACCACTCAAGTTCATGGGCGTCTGCTCCTCACACACCACACAAGTCCATGGGAGCCTGCTCCTCCCACACCACTCAAGTTCATAGGCGTCTGCTCCTCACACACCACTCAAGTTCATAGGCGTCTGCTCCTCACACACCACACAAGTCCATGGGAGCCTGCTCCTCACACACCACTCAAGTTCATAGGCGTCTGCTCCTCACACACCACTCAAGTTCCCAGGAGTCTGCTCCTCACACACCACACAAGTCCATGGGAGCCTGCTCCTCACACACCACTCAAGTTCATGGGCGTCTGCTCCTCACACACCACACAAGTCCATGGGAGTCTGCTCCTCACACACCACTCAAGTTCCCAGGAGTCTGCTCCTCACACACAAGTCCATGGGAGCCTGCTCCTCACACACCACTCAAGTTCATGGGCGTCTGCTCCTCACACACCACACAAGTTCATGGGCGTCTGCTCCTCACACACCACACAAGTTCCCAGGATTCTGCTCCTCACACACCACACAAGTCCGTGGAAGTCTTGCTACAGTGCAGGTCCTGACTCAGTAGCTCAGCACAGGGGTTGAGAAGCTTTTAAATTGTTTGTTAAGTCAGATGTGAAAGTGATACTGTGATGCTGGGCTGTACTTCTGAGTGACCTGAGTACTGTTAAGAAAAACCCTGAGCAGACGGATTTAGTGGGAACGGAAAAGAAGCATAAGTTATACGAAAGTCTTTTAACAGGTTTTTGTTACAACACACACTGACAAGTGAAGTTTGTTGAAGAAATGATTTCTAAGCCATTAAATTACTGTGACAAGGAGCAGACAGGAGACACTTCAGGACAGATAAGGGAGCCATGGAAGAGAATCCTTAAAAACTGTGATAGGGAGGCTGAAGTGTAGAAGCCATCTTCATAGCCGATGGCTTCTGTTGGCGTGGCGGGGACATGGGGACACGGACATGCACACAGGGCAGGCCACTCAGAGTCTAACCATGCACCAATGAGAATATGAGCAACACAAACTGGACTTGATGTATTTTTTCTCTTTTGGAAGGGAGAGGTGGCTGGCTGGACCTGAGGAACGGAAAGCAAGTATGATCAGGGCACATTGTGTGAAATTTCCAAATAATCAATAAAAATATTATGTTGGGGGAAAAAAAACAAAGAAATGTGAACAGGTAGAAACAAAAATACTTCAGTGTACATAACCGTTTATCATGAGAATTTTGAATCCACAAAACAAAAACGAACAGAACAAAAGGCAGATTGCATGGTTTAATCGAACAGCTTTGGGTTAACTGTATCCGTGACTGCTGTACTTCCCCAGGTCTCGTCCACTCATCTGCATGTCCTCTAAAGTGTGTGAATTCCCATGAGTGAGGGGCCCACAATAACCAATGTGCTCGCTGACACTTAGTAGTGTGCTAACACTTAGCTGCATGTGTACACGTGGGCCTATTTCACCGTTAGAGCAGCATGCCCAACTAACTAGTCCTAAAACTAAATTAAAATTAAAAGTGGTCAAGCATCCAGCACAGCGGCCAACAAACAGTTTTTGAAATAGGCAAAACAGTAAAGATTTTAGGTTTTGAAGCCAATCTTCACCAAAACTCCTCCATTCTGTCCTTTTGGTACAAAAGCAACTATATATAAACAGTTTATAAGTAGATCAGCAGGTACATGCATGAAAAACGTAAAAACAGGCAATGGGCCAGAACCGGCCATGGGGTCACTGTGTGCTTACCCTAGATCTACATCAGCGTCTACAATTCAGAGACAGGAGCTACCGTAAACAGTTCTCCTGCTGCTCCCAACAGACTTTCCAGAACACACATATACTCCTAATCCTGATCAGGACTCTTCAACAACAAGTTTGTTACTTCGAGCAAGTCTCTTAACACTGTTGAAGTTCCTTCTTTAGCCGTTTATGTAACTGCACAGCTGCTTTGTGAACCCATCTTCAGCTCTGGGGTCAGGACACAGTGCTCAGAGGTGTTCTGCGCTTGGTGGGGTTAACAGTGAGTCCGACACCTGCTCTGAGCAGTGTGGGTGAGGCCTTGCAGAAGGAGATACACAGCGGTCTGCTGCCTCACTGCCAATGCACATCGACAACCATGTCCTCCTCGAGTGTTTTGCAATCTCGCTCAAGACATTAGTCAGTGATTTATTGCTGGGTGGCACACTTTCCCTGTAGGGCTAATGGAAGTGATTAGGTAAAGCCATATGAACACGCAGTGACTCCTCAGCTATTAAAGACAGCAATTCAATATGGCTGGGTCTAATACTTTTGAATAAACAGTGGTAAAACTTCTATCTTCCTAGAAAACCTGTCACGGTATATCCATTTTAAGTTTTATTGCCATAACAATATGCACAGCATCAGCTTAAAGCCTCTAACTGTCCTCACGTGAGAGCTACAGGAGGGTTTGCCCGACCTTCTGAAGTGAACTCAGGTATAAATGATATCAGAAAAGTATCAAAACTCCAAGCATCTTTGCATACTGCAAACACACAGAAGAATCACTAGCCCCTTTAGCAACTTTATGGCCACACTTTAAACTGAAATGCAACTGCACACGCATCCTCTCAGAGAATGCCAAATGTCTTCCCATAATGTCAAATGTCCACACACTCCAAATAATTGTAAAGGGGGGGGAGGCAACAACTATCAGTTAACCAGTTAATCATAGAGAGATCCTGATGACAGGCACACTGCATTTTGGTCAGTAGAGAATTAAGAGACCATTTACATAAAATATGTATAAGTACGAATCAGATTGGAATCTGCCCATCATTAGATCCATTTTTCATCCAGAAAAATCTAAAGATAAATTTCTATCCGCCACTTTTTTTAACTTCATTTTTATTTTATGTATGGCTATATTGCCTGCATGTATGTTGGTGTACCACATGCACACGTGGTGTCTGGAGAGGGCATCACATCCCCTGGAACTGGAGTTATAGACAGTCTGAGCTGCCATGTGAATGCTGGGAATTAAACCAGAGTCCTCTGAAAGAGCAGCCAGTGTTCTTAACCCCTGAGCCAAATCTCCAGCACTCATCTAAATTTTGTTTGTTATTTTGGTTTTTTAAGATAAGGTTTCACAGTGTAGCCCTGACTGGCCTGGAATTTGCTTTGTAGGTCAGGCTGGCCTTAAACTCACAGAGATCTACCTGCATCTTGAGTGTTGCGATTAAAAGGTGTCCACTGTTACACCAGCTTTCATTTAACTTTTTAAATACTAACTTGCTACTAAAATGAACAACTAAAAAAGATGATTAGATGAAAGAGAAGGGAAATAGATAAAAATAATAGATAAACAGGGGCTGGGGACATGGCTCAATTGGTGAATGGCTACTATTTAAGACAAGGACCCAAGCACCACTTAGGAAGTCAAATGTGAAAGCACCTGCCTGAAATCCCACTGCTAGGGAAGTGGAGACTGGAGGGTTCCTGGGACAACTAACTGGCCAGCCAGCCTCGCCTAACTGCTGAGATTCAGGTCTATGAGAGACCTGTCTAGAAAACACAAAGCAGGGTGGACAGCTCCTGAGGAGTGGCACCTGAGGCTGTCTGCCCTCTGGTTTCCACACACGCACACACTTCTGTGCCTGCATCCATACCCAGACAGCTACAGACGAATAGGAAAATGAAAACACAAAGAACATGAGAAACAGATTTAAAGGCCGATTTTCTTCTGATGTCAGGGTCAGGAACATAAAGAAGGAAATTAACAACATGGCAGAATCAAGAAAGCCACAAGCACAGCAAATGGAAAGACAAAGTCAAGGGCATAACCTCACAATGGACATGGAGTGTCAGGAAACGGCAAAGCAACCAACCTGCTGCACAGACTCCAGAGGCACCGGTGTGGCTTGAGTAAAGGCTTCCAGGCGGATGCCATGCACAGGGTCTTCAACCACCAAGCAGCCGATGTCAAACCATCTAGAGCAGAAACAGGAGAGCGCACCATTTACACGCTAGGTAAAATAGGAGTGGACGGAACAGTGCACTGTTTACAAGCTAGATAAAATGAGAGTGGAGAGACAAAAGGAAAACGCAAGCCCTACTTACTGTTCAGGTTAAAGTACCACAGATCGCAGAAAGAGAATGGTTTTCTAATTAGCTTGTAAGTAGACAACCCAATCCATAAAAGCAAAAAAAAAAAATACCCTATTGTCTTAATTCCAAAATGATACAGGAAGAGATTAACAAAAAAGGAAACTGAAATTACTAGCCATTGGAAATTCCCTTCTTGCTAAGATGGGGGATAATGGGAATGGGGGCAGTCAAACACACAGCTGGCAAAATGTCACACTTATTTGAACACTCAAAGAGCTCCCCGCAGATAATTTTAAATGATACTTGCTAACATAGGGGGAAATTTGTAATGCCGGCCCTTACCAGCACACAGCCATCTAACAATGTTACTAGTAAATCAAGAAATAAGCTCATTTAGGGGAAATAACCACGTGCTTGATCCTTGTGGACATTAACCCTTCAAGTCATGTGTTCCAAGGCAGGAGTCAGCCTTTGAAAACACACTCATGAAATCAAGGTTCTTTTCCATGCAGATTATAAAAAGGAGGCATCATAAACATACTTCAGATAACTGGAATAGCATTGGAATTCCAGCTAATAGAAATAACGACCCTGAAATGAATTTCAGTTCTAAGGGAATATGACCAAGGCTATGTTCAATGTCTCCATCTTTTAAAAATTAAGTGCCTTTAGTAAGCACAAAGACTACAAAATGAATAAGGAGATAACACATTTATAAAAACCAGTAACTAAGACAGAGCAGCATAAGGAACTGTAGAATATTAAAATGGTACTTTATAATGTCTTTAGCATTTATATCTTAAAAATGTTTCAACTCACAAATACTGAATAATATTTATTCTACTTGACTACTAATCAAACTTTTGTATTTTGTCTTAACAAAGTTTCTCATTCAAGAAGGTGAAGTCAAGCTCAGCCAATGCTTGTTTTGCCTGATTCTGCCCATGGGCAGTGTCCACGAGGGTACTGCCCTCACTCAACTGGAAGCATGCACCTTGGCATCCTGCGGGGCTGCCCTAAAGGCACAGCGGTCTCCCTATCAGCAGCGCCCATCAGAGCTCCAGTCAACCTCTGTTCTGAGCAGCATCACCCCCACTGCAACCTGGAACCCGCTTCCCCATTCCCTTCTCTGGGAACCTGCAATCGCTGTCATGTGCCAAGGCCCTTCCATTTCAGTCCCTGATCCTGCTGGCTGAGGGAACTTTCAGGTTCCCCTCTCCTTCATTCAGTCCTTCAACAGGATCACAACCAGGCCAGGAGTGGGGAGAATCTCAGCTGATCACTTTTGATCTCTTGGGATTTCCATCTTTCCTTTCTGAGTATAAGCAAGGTGACATGAACATGATGGACTGGACTGTGGTTCCAAGGCAGTTCCATTTCCCAGAGCAGGAAAAGGTTCACACTCCATTCAGAAGCCACAAAGAGACCACCTACATCACCAATCAAGTCACAAGGAAGGAGATGCTGAACACATTATAACAACATTTTTGTGCACTTAACACTAATCCAAAACTAACACCAAAGTCTAGAACTGCTCATCCCAGAATGAACACTGGGATATTCTGTATGTGGAAGGAGACAACAGACTGCCTTTTCCAACTCAGCATGAACAGATGATAATAAATGAAGAGCACTAACTAGGTCTACACAGTTTACTCGGTTTCCCTTTTAGTGAATTGCTCTCCCTGGCGGTTGTTTTCCAGCTCAGGAAAGGCAAAGTACAGTTACAAAATGCTAGGTAACAAGTAAACAAAAAAGTAAGACAAAAATGAAACCACCATGTAATTATGAATGAAAGGAGAATTCACCAAAGCAAGGTTGTTCATTATAAAGTAACTCAGCATGTCCAAACAGGTTTTCCCACTTAAAAAAAAAAATCACAAAGCCACAGAGCCTTCAAAAACAATGCTGAACTGTGATTTCTGTGATTTCCAGAGGCTTTTAAAGCTAAGCACATAGCCCGATGTAACTCCTATTAAATGCCAAGAGTCTTCTTGCCCATCTTCCACCTCTGTGAGTCACCATAGGAAGCCGTGTGTTTACTCCCACTGTTACGTGACACCTACCACGCTAACACGCAGTGTATGTCTTACATTCTGTCCTATTGTATCAAGTGGTTGTCAGCGCAGACATCGCTCTGCACTGCTCAGTTTTAAAAGAAAAGAGAGGACCGGAGTGTCAGCTAAGCATGGACAGTCACACCACGAGAGCAGACGCTCCACTCTGGCTTTAAGACAGAAGACACCTTTTCTAGGTGTTCATGTGAACTCTCCACACAGTTGTGTTGATTCCTAGGGTACCCTGCACCTCTTACTTGTCAGGCAGCAGCTCAGCGATGAAGTTTTCTATTGACACAGCAGTCTGCTTCTCGTGGATCGCGCCAGACCTCCGCAGGCTATCTATGCGTTCCTGGGCACCCTAAGCAAAAGCAGCACTGGTTGGAAAACAGTTTTTTAAACAGTATTTATAGCAAATATACTGACTCTTAGTTATACAATACATGCACATATTTAACATATAAACTCACTGTAAACATTCAAACAATACAGAGGTATAGAGCAGTGATTCTCAACATATAGGTCACGACCCCTTTGCGAGTCAAAAGGCCCTTTCACAGGGGTTGCCTAAGACCATTGGAAAACAAAGAAATTTACAATGCCATTCTTAACAGTAGCAAAATTACATTATGAGGTAGCAACAAAAACAATTTACAGTTGGGGGTCACCACACATGATGAACTATATTAAAGGGTTGCAGCATTAGGAAGGTTGAGAACCACTGGTTTGGAATAAAAATACCCAATGGCATTTTCTTGGTGTTAAGTTTAGGGTACATTTTCCAAATTATTCCATCATGCAGTATTGTGATTAATTTATTTAATCATTATTTTAAACTTGTAATTTCTAATTGACTACTCATATAAGGAAGCCTTATTTTTAAGTGTTCATTTAGCAAGAAGTCATCTTTGAGAATAAAAACGTTTTCAGACCTGCTATCTGCTTGGTGGATTTGCTCTTGACTCTGGGCTTGTGATCACACTTCCCAGTTTTTCTAATTCCCTTTGTCAATACACATGCAGCAGCATGAACACTACTGCAAGTGGAAAGTTAATGTATGTGGTACACTGAAGCTGATTCAGCAGAATAACTGTCACTAACGAATCCAAACAGGGCTTGAGAAACTTGCACAGGAACTCAAAGCTAAGGGTGTGTACCTGAAAGCAGAGAAGCCACTGCCAGGTTAGGAGGGCTACGGCTGTATGCGACTGTTCCCTGAATCATCTCATAAAGAGTGAGGACAAACAATGTGATAAAAATGTCCAAAGGGGAAGGCTGGGTAGCGGGCTTGCAACCCCAGCACTTGAGAGGTGGACACCAGAGGAATGGGGGTCCAGACCAGCCTGGGCCCCAAAGCAAGACACAGTCTCAGACACACATTCGAAGACCTATTTCTGAAAAACACCAAGCCAAGAATAAGCAGATTTTTAAGGACAGAGTTAAGAGTTAACAGAAAAAAAAGATGAAATGATGTGATGATGTGCTTAATTGCTTAATCCTTAATCACACAAAGATTAAGTGACAAATGAATGAGAGAAGTGACAGCTTCATGAGAATGGACTCAACAGCTTAAGACACTAGCTTGGGAAGAAAACCGATGACAGATTCTACAGCAGAGTGGACGCGGTCTGTCTACTTTTGGATCAACTTTTATCTCCTAAGCTTGGTACTAGGTGTAAGCAAACAAGTATTCAGTAAGAACTTGCCATGTGAAAAATCAAACAATGGCAAAAGCCAATCTTGAAACCATGACAAGTAGAGACTCAGTCCAGGCAATAGATTTGTTCCCACCTTTCAAACAAAACTCATTCATATAACCCTTGTAATCTATCTTAAGGTTTACAGTTATAGTGTGTACATATTTATTTTTTCAATTTACCATGTTCGTTTCTAGATTAGACTGAATTCAAACCCTACAGGTAGCAGTTAGCTTTATCATATGGCATAAACATATTTTTAATAAACATACACTGGTGTCAAAGTCAAAGGAAACATTACACGACCCTTTACACAAACTTTTTAAATGTAAATACAGTTGATCCTCAATAGTTCTGGAATCTTTACTGGTGAATTCAACTATTTACTGAAATTTATTGGTAATCTCGATGTCATATGTGCACACAATTACAAAATAATTTAAGTTGTCTGTCCTGCACATCTCCAGTCAAGTCAAACAAATGCCACTACCACCTTGCTTAAGCTCACACGTTGAAACAAGTAGGTGCTGGTGTATTTGGTGTCACCTTCTACATGTCTGTGTTGTTAAAAGTTGCCACCATTTCAAACAGTCCCAAGTCTAACACTGTACAGCCGTCTGAGGTTCCTAAACATGGCAGGGTTCTGAAACACTTCAGGAGGAAAATGTGTGTGCACTAAATAAGCTGCATCCAATCAGGAGTTACAGGACTGCTGGCTGTGACTTTACTATAATGGGTATACATACCAATAGCTATTTGAACATATAAAGCCGTATCCAAAGGCCAAAAGCATCGTAGCCAGAAGCCTCCAAGGACCTAATCCTTTTTCCCTTGGTAGCAAGAGCACCATACTCACTAAGAGGGTGTATGGCAACCTCCAGAAAAACAACCACAGCACACGTGTGTCTGCCTTGCAAACAAGACAGAATGATGGGATAGAAGAAACAAGAGGAATCTCTACAGCTGGTGTCAAGTTTCCTCATCTGAGAAAATGGAAGGACAGGACTGCCACTGATTGACATGAAGTAGGGACTAAGTATAAGCGAAAGAAAAGGTTTCATTCTAGACATACTAGGCTTGGGATATCCAAGTACTGTCAAAAAGGCAACTTTTACATTTATTAAGAATTCATGAGCAGTCTCGGTGGCAATAAGAAGCTCCAAGTGTCAGCATAAGATGCTGGCTAAGGCCAGGGACGACATGAAGTCAGCAAAGGAGGGCATGGAGACAGAGACCAAGAGGAAGCTGGGGGGAAATGGAGAGACCAACAGGGCAAGCACAAAAGCAAAGAACAGTATATGAACTCGGAAAAACTCCAGGTGTGCACCCAAAAGGCCACAAGGGAGAAAAACACACTAAAGTAAAATCAGACTTAGCGCTGCACACCTATAATCCCAGAACCCTGGAAGTGGACGAAGGATCAGGAGTTCAAGGCCAGTGTTGGCTCCAGGGCAAGTCTGAGGCCAGCCTGGCTATCTAAAACTCTATCTAAACAACGGAGAGGATGACCAGCTGCCTGGAAAGCTCCTGATCAACCTTTTATCAGTGGCTTTGAGTGCACTCTTTTTAGGATAGGGTAGTAGAGAAGTATGGCTAGGCAGTTGGAAAACTACAAAGAATTAGAGAAAATGTTCAAAATTCCTACAGAAGTTTTACTGCAAGAAGGAAGCAAGCATGGTAGAATGATATAGAGGAAGAGAGGTCAAAGAATTTGCTTCCCTTATTTAGGATAGGAAAATGTTTGATTGCCATCAACTTCATTTGTTCTTGCATGATTGTGCCTTTGTAACAATGTAACGAAGAGTAATGTGTATGTGTGTATGTATCTACTGGTACCCAACAGCTATTATAATTTTAATAACTGACTTGAAAATCAATACTGCGTTATAAAGATTCCTTTCAAGAACATCTGTTCTTTTTGTTCTTTCTTAATGACACTGCCATCCTCCTCCAATAACTGAAACCTAATTGAGATTTTATTCAATTATAACTCCTTTCTATCTTCACAGCATGACAGTGCTGGCTAACTAACGACAAAGCTGGTATTTCAGTATCTAAATATGCAGTGGTTCCACACAGTCCACAGGATCGTTATCACAATTATGGGCAAATGAACTGCAGGTCCCATACTCTGGAAACGCTCTTATGACTCACCTTTAATCCCGCTGCATAGCCTACTGGCTGTGGGGCGATGTTGGACTGTCCAGCTTCCCCCACAACCACAGCTAAGCCAAAGACCTCCTGGAAGGCATCTCGGACAGCAGCCACTTTCACTTCTTTAGTTGAGGTTACAACGATATCCAGTTCACCTCCAGATTCTGCAGAAATCACAAAGAACTTCAATTCCAAATGTAAGCAGTCACCATCTAGTATTACTACCACACCAGAGGCTTGCACTGCATTCACTAACTGTTACCAGCCTTACACATGTGAGCTAGGCTGACACAACCTCACCCACCATAGCACAGCAGCTAAAGCACTACTGTCAGGACTCAAACCCAGGTCGGACACAAATCCTCTTTTCATCACGCCATCTGATACAACCACACAAATTCCGACCCTCTAAACTCAGAGCATGCTATTCCAACAAGTGTTTAAAAGCCAATTACCAACCTCCCTTGCATTATAAGGATTTATAGATTACTGACTAGTGCTGATCTAACTAATCCCTATTGTTCACATACTAGAAATGTACATGAAAATTAAAGAGCAAAATGCCTGTGTCAACTGTCTAAGGATATCTGATGAGGGCTCAAAAGCAGTTAAAACAATGTTCCTAGCAAACTAATAATCAAGTTTTATTAATTGCTTGATTTTAACTTTCTCTAAAAATAGTATTCCTGATTAAGCATACATATATTTGATTAAAATAGTTAACTAGATAAATTGCCAAAACCAAGTATAAACAAAACATGACAGTGAATGAAGAAAAATCCATATAAACTACTCAAATACGCAAAATTTACTACTAAATTACTCTTTTCCTCTTCTAAAGTTCATACTATGAAGTCCTAAAACTTAAATAATGATGACTAAGAAAGATAAATCAGTTACACCTAAACTCAGATGGAGAATGCACTTGAATTAAGAGCGCAGGAAGAAATGAACTGAAAGTGTAGCTATGTGGCATGACGAGCATCAGAAGCATGGCCGGCAGCAGGCTTGCTTATCTACGTACTGATGTATGGAGCCATGCCAGGGTCCAGCGTCGTGATCATGCTCTCTACCGAATGCTTGGTCTTATCAAGCACAGATTTCACCATAGGATTTCCAGCCACGCCCTGCACAAAGCAAGATGCAGACATTCAGTTCAAACAAAGAACACCTTGACTTTCCTGAGCATGAAAGAACTTTTTAAAACTTTCTTTTTGAGAATTATATACATGAAAACAGTTAAGTATGGTCATACTCCCCCATTTCCCCCACATCACAACACACCCCTCCCAACATCACGTCTTTTCTTTGTTAATCAGCTAAACCCAGTTAGTGCTGCCCACATGTGCACGGACGCGGGAACGTCCCCTGGAGCACAGGAAGCTTACCAGTGGCCACCTCCTAAAGAAGATGGATTCCCCTCCCTCAGCAACTGTCCCCTGCCAGTGGCTCCTCACTAAGGGGTAGTGCCTAGAGACCATTTCCCTCATCTATGCTTAAATGTTCGTCCCCAAAACATGCAGAGCTGGTCACAGCACTACAAATAAGAGACAAGTGCTCAGCCCTACATGGGACACCTGTATTAATGTCACTACAACCAAGTATCTGGACATCACAGAATAGGAGGTGGAAAAATCGTGAAAGCCAAAGGATGGGAAGAGTGCTATGAAACAGTGCCTCCCAAACAGATGGCTACTGCAACCATGAGCTCACAACAGCTGTGGTTACCTGCAAGACCTACACAGGAAACTTTTCTTTTTAAGTTTCCCATGCATCGATGGACCACTACTTTCAAAAACTGTGAAATGGTACTTTTGGAACCTATAATTAAAATGAGGTCATTCGATGTCAAATTCCTACTATGATTCTAAGTGGTGCTCTTGCCTTCTCTTCACACACAGAAAGCAGGCCAGCAGCTGCCTGTGGAGGGTTCTGCAATAACACTGTTTGGAAACTGATAGTCTGAAAAGTATGTTTTAGTTATAAATACATTTATAAGAGAAACCTGTCCCTCAGTTATTGTCCCAAATAAGGACTGTAACCATGTGTCTATATAAGTCCATACTTTGTCCCTAAGGAGATAAAGGCAGTAAAAAATACTTCTCACCTTTATCCCCCAGAATAGCTCCTGGTTGCCTTAATGCATATCTCTGTCCTTCGAATGTTTTTCTCAAGCTCCCTTTCTTGTACCCGCTCCTAAACCCTCTCCCGTGGGCAGCTCTCCTTTCTGGATTCTTCAGACCAACAGCATCATGAGCTTCCACCCCAGAGCTTTCCAGCTTTCCTTCTTACACGCCTACTCTTCCAAAGAAAAGGGGGAGCTCTGCCCCTGGGGGCATCCAACAGACTGAGATCCCTTCCTTCCAACTCACCAAGATGACTGAGGATAGGTGAGTTCAAAAGGATTAAATTTAAAACTGCCAGGCAACCTCAAGATAAAAATGTAAGTTACTGCTCTGACCAGTCTCAGGGAGTTGAACTGGCTATTACAACTAGCAACCAGCAATCTCTTTATAAAGCAGGAAGAAAGCTGTATATTTCACAGAAGAGAGATCTATAAAAACAAGTGTAAGAGGACCAGATTCCTGAAACATGACCACATCAACCACTTAGCTCAAGAGGAGCCAGCGGCCCACAGCACTGGAACCAGGACTCACAGCACTGGAACCAGGGCCCACAGCACTGGAACCAGGACTCACAGCACTGGAACCAGGGCCCACAGCACTGGAACCAGGGCCCACAGCACTGGAACCAGGGCCCACAGCACTGGAACCAGGACTCACAGCACTGGAACCAGGACTCACAATACTGAGTACTGTTGCACCCTGCTAATCCGCACTTCCCTTTTCATCAGGGAAAGCTCCGCACACCCACCTGAGCGCAGTGCACAGCATGCTTTCAGTACCCATCAGTGGAATAACCACACCTAGCTGCAGTTTAGATGGTGTGCTGCTATTACAGAGTCAGGTTCAATGGCAGAGAAGACAAACCCAGAGACTGGCACTAATGTGTACTTTAGTAAATAAAATAAGGGGACATCAGGTTGCTGAGAGAATGACCTCAAAATACTCCATTAAGAGGCTGGAAAATGCTTAAATTCCTCTATCTTACATGGTGTGTTGAAACAAACCAGCTACACTGAACTGCTCAGGTGAAAACTGGAATGGTTAAAAAACGCTAGCTGAGATGTAAAGATACTCTTTCAGGGTACAGAACTGAAAGAGATCCACAGAAATGACCAGTGTGTACATCATGAAATAGCACTGCTCTAGCCAGAGCTCTTAACAAACGCGCTTAGCAAAGCAAATCTCCCAACTTCAAATTGAGCAAAGATGAACAGAGAACATAGAAAACAATTTCATGGTGGGGGCAAATTTAATAGCAAAGAAAAGAAAATTAAAACATGGTTTCAAGTTTGGGGTTTGGCTTATAAGGTAAAGCCCTTGTGTCACATGAGGACCAGAGTTGGGATCCCCAGAGACCACACAAAAGGGTGTAGTGGCCATATGTAATTTCAATGCTCAGGATGGAGAGTCGGAGCAAGCTGGCAAGCCAGACTAGTCAAAGCAGACCTTGATATATAAAGTGGAGACCACTCATAAAGACACTCTGTATCAACTCGGGGCTTCCATACACACACACATACACACACACACACACACACACACACACACACACGCACGCACGCACGCACGCACGCACATGCACACACACACACATCCCAAAAATGTTTCAGATATTTTGTCTATTATAAATTAACACCCTCTGCTGCCATGGGAACAATGAGGGAACAACATATGCTAGTGTGGCTACTGGAAAGCGGTATTCAGAAAGTTCTAGGGCACTCACTAGGACTTTCATCAGGAACTAATGATGTCCAAGTTGCCCATCAGGGTGCACACATAAGAGCACTCATTAGTTTAATTTATAAGAATTAAAATCAAAAGGGAGCACTGTACAGCTCTGTAGCTGCGTCATGTTAATCAGGCCTAAGGGTGCAGGTTTGCATCCCGTCACAAGCCAGCCTGAGGCAGAAGGACTGCCAAGCTCAGGCCGGCCTGGGATACTGAGTAAGCTCCAAGGCATACTGATGAGACTCTTCCTAAGAGAGACAAGAGAGCTGGGATCGGCTAGCAATAAAGTGCTTACCAGTGTACATAAGGCCCCAGGTTCAGTCGGCAATACCAACCAAACAACAAGAACAAAATGTGCACATGTCTAAACATTTTTCTCAATTAGAGTAAAACGATTTAAAAACTTATAAGCAGATTAATACTGATAACAGATTTGTAAAATAAAACATGGTAAATGTAACAGTCATCGATGACATAGTAGTTATTAAGAAATATATTCTAAAGGAAGAATGTTTAGAGCTGAGAGATGCTTTAGTCAGTAAAGGGCAGATAAGCATGAGGATCTGAGTTCGGGTCCCAGCACCCATTTAGAAAGTGGAGCACTCCAGCACATGTCTTAACATTCTAGCATGTGATAGAGCATAAGTGAGAGCTCAATGGCAAACCATCCCAGCTGAATGGACAGAGTCCAAAGTCAATGACAGATCCTGTCCCCAAAAAGTAATGTAGAGAACAGAAGAAGACCCCTTGTGGTGGCCTCCACATCCGCATGTGAGCGTGCACGCTCGCGCGTGCGCACACACACACACACACACACACACACACACACACCTGAACACATGCATCCATCCAAACATATGCAGACCCAATACACAAGAAACAAAGACAGACAGACAATTTCACAGCTGGAAGGACATTAATGAAGTTTTCCAGAAAAGACAAAGAACACAATACCCATGTCATATAGAGACGCACAATGAACAAGTGCCAACTACAGAAATCTGTCCATAAAGGGCTTGCTTTCCGTTACCCTATACAGTGTTCTCAAAACACTGTGCTCCCTACCCTATGCCGTGTTTCTCTAATTGACCCCTGTCAGTTTTACAATTAGAACCGTAACTTGAAAGGCAAACACCCTTACCTTGATAAAACCCCAGATCCCACCAGCAGGTGCATCATCCTGGCCTCTCGCAATTCTAGGATCTTCCTGTTCCTCTGGGAAGGTAATGGCTGATGTGGTTCCAGGCCCCTGTGCCAGCGATGTCATACTGGTTTGCTGAGTGATGGGGGCCGGCAAAATACCTAGTCAAGAGCAAAAATCTGGTTGGGTAATTTATTTCACAAATGTTTTCCTATAAAAAGATGTGTCATATGAGAAGCTCAAAGCAAATTCAATCACAGAACTACGTAAGCATCTAAAGATAAAGTTGTTAACTCAGTCCTTTATACATACAATTGTAAAAATCCCTCAAAAGGTATCCCCTTACATAGTTTTACACAGATAAGCATGGAATACCTATGCTCCATAAAAATTTACTAGTAAAGGTATGTAGCTCAATTTGGGTAATAAAGAATCAAAGCTAAACCGGGTGGTGGTGGCACGCGCCTTTAATCCCAGCACTCGGGAGGCAGAGGCAGGCGGATCTCTGTGAGATTGAGGCCAGCCTGGTCTACAGAGCAAGTTCCAGGACAGCCTCCAAAACAATACAGAGAAACCCTATCTCAGAAAAAAAAAAAAAGAATCAAAGCTAAAGTGCTCCTCTACCTGAAAATGATGAACAGAAGACAACAAAGATTAGGTCTTGATAATTTGTTTCCAATAACCATACTAGAGAAGGGGACTGAGAGAATGTAGTTGGTCTGAGAAAAGAAATGGCCTAGTATCCCCCATTTCTGGCACATGGGACTAGCTAGATAAAATTTACTCCTTGAGGAAGATGGTTCTGATAAAAAAGCAAACTATAATGTATTCTTGGATTGCGACCTGCAGCTTATCATAACAAATATTAGCATGAGATATGGGAATTCTTTCTCACACCTCAAATGTCAATCATTTATACCACACAAACTATACAATAAATTACATTAGCTTTATTGTTAATAATCTAAATGGCAAAGAGATGAGCGTGGAAAACGCTTGTGTCAGAGTGAGACCAGAAAACTACTGTGGAGAAATCGAGGCCCTAGGAGCAGCAGATGGCCAGGTCTATACATGTATGTGTCTATGTATACAAGTAAGTACTACACTGTCTAGGAGCAGCAGATGGCCAGGTCTATACATGTATGTGTCTATGTATACAAGTGAGCACTACACTGTCTAGGAGCAGCAGATGGCCAGGTCTATACATGTATGTGTCTATGTATACAAGTGAGTACTACACTGTCTAGGAGCAGCAGATGGCCAGGTCTATACAGGTATGTGTCTATGTATACAAGTGAGTACTACACTGTCTAGGAGCAGCAGATGGCCAGGTCTATACATGTGTGTATCTATGTATACAAGTGAGTACTACACTGTCTAGGAGCAGCAGATGGCCAGGTCTATACATGTGTGTATCTATGTATACAAGTGAGTACTACACTGTCTAGGAGCAGCAGATGGCCAGGTCTATACATGTGTGTATCTATGTATACAAGTGAGTACTACACTGTCTAGGAGCAGCAGATGGCCAGGTCTATACATGTGTGTATCTATGTATACAAGTGAGTACTACACTGTCTAGGAGCAGCAGATGGCCAGGTCTATACATGTGTGTATCTATGTATACAAGTGAGTACTACACTGTCTAGGAGCAGCAGATGGCCAGGTCTATACATGTATGTGTCTATGTATACAAGTGAGTACTACACTGTCTAGGAGCAGCAGATGGCCAGGTCTATACATGTATGTGTCTATGTATACAAGTGAGTACTACACTGTCTAGGAGCAGCAGATGGCCAGGTCTATACATGTGTGTATCTATGTATACAAGTGAGTACTACACTGTCTAGTACACAAATCACAGCGCAACACAACCTAAAACCAGCACACAGTAATAAAACGTCAGAGACGGCCAATACTGCGGCACAGTAAGAGCTCACCTGAGACTGGAGGTGCAGAAAAGGACGGCATCAAAGGTGTCTGGGGAGCTCTCCCGGCGTGGCCCCTCGTGATGTCGTAAACTGCACCAACAGAAAACCCCGATATCGGAGGACCCGCAGGTGGTGTGGACAAAAGAGCCCCAGAGGCGGAAGTGGCAGGCGGGAAGTGGGGCAAAGGGGGGCTGCTGAAGGCAATGCCAGGTGATGAAGACACAGAGGGCAGCACTGAAGGGCCACTCAGGGGACCGGCAGGAGCTGGAGACATCGGCACAAAAGGGGGCGGTGCGGACGGCTGCACAGGGGGCAGGGATGGCTGAGGCGTGGAATACACATGTGGTGGCAAGGACTCCATCCCAGACACATTGGGAGATGAGAAGGAACTGGTTGCAGCTAGAAAAAAAAGTAGGGACGATAAGCACACAAAGTTGAAAAAGCTTTTCATCTCATTTTCAAACTTCCACTGCTTGGGAAATTCCTAACGTGGTAGGTGGATTTTAAAGGTGTAATTTCCAACGCATAGCAATTGTACATGAGCACAGGTCCTGCGATTCCACTGGAGAAGCAGCACAGCTCAAGGACAGCACTGTCCAAGAGCAAACCTCCCTTTCCCTTTGTTTGTTTGCTTCTTAGACAAGGTCATTTTCATCCCTGTCTTGAACATAAAAACCTAGACACTAAAACCTCAAAAAGATTAATCCCCACAAAGTCAGAGACCATCAGACAACAAATGCTTTGAAGGCTTGCTAGGAGGGCTTGCAGTAAATATGAACAGAGAGCAAACCCGCTAACAGCAAGACATTACATACACTTCCTTACTTGTAACAGGAAAGATTATTTCTGTGTTGTTGTTTAAATTTAAAAGGGCTATTTCTTTGCACCCTGACAAGATTAGGGAAGCATTAACAGCATATTCTTCTAATTGATTCAGAGAGACCAGTGTCTTCCCCAGCCTCCAACCCACCTAAGTGAACTTCAGTGGAGGGCATGGCAGCAGCAGCCAGGCCTGCAGGGTTCAGGGGAGGAGTTCCAGGTGGAGTTGTCTCTATTCCACTTTCTTCCATCATTTTTCCTCAACTATGGTGCACTCTGCAAAGATATAAAAATGGTAAACTTCACACGGGGGCAGCAGCTCACGTAGTTAGAGAACAATTAAGAAAGACCACTTAGAGGCGAGTCTGCCTTCGGTACTCACAGCAACCGTGTCTGGAGGAAGGGCTCAGCAAACCTCCTGTAAAGCTGGAGAGATGAGCCACCAGGTGACAGCACTTGTGTTCTTGCAGAGGACCTGAGCTCAGATCCCAGTGCCCAATCAGATGGCTCACAACTACCTGCACTAGAGCTTCAGGGTATCTGACACCCTCTTCTAGCCTCCAAAGGCACCCACATACATGTCACACACACAATATTTAAAATATCCTTTTTTAGTATCCGAAAAAACTCCGTATAGTCTTTGGGTCTGGTTCATTTCTGTGTATAATGCTTTTATTTGCAACAATTTTTATAACAAAGTTTAAATAAATTTTAAAAGTCTATGAAACTATTTAATATGCAAGTGTCTTGTGACGTTACCATATACATATTTTACAACATGGAAATAATTTGACATTAACCATTTCATAAATGAAACTATGTATTTCAAATCATACAGTGCCAAGTTGATTTTGGCCACCTGAATCCCATTAAGAATCACATGCAGGTTTCAGATGCTTAAAACACAGACATCTAATTTACCTTTGAAACTTCTCTTCTCCCCTCACAGAACGTTCTATGTGGGCTATTTTGTCTATTAACACACACACACACACACACACACACACACACACACACACACACAATCCAGATGTGTTCAGCTTTATAAACAGGTTAGTCTCCAGTCTTCTGGTCTACGGCTGCTTTGTAAAGTGCAATGGTGTGGCTCAGGTGTTAGAAGTTGACTAAAAATCAAGCCACAAGAAAGCAAGGTCCTAAAGGACGACGATGCATACCAAATATAAGAAAGCATCCTTACAGATCAAACTTCCTTCTAAGAACTCAGCTTTATACCCTCATCAGAGAAGGTCTTTTGGCAATGGATGGTGGTTAACAGAGAGACTCAGAAGTACTCAAAGCACAGCAGGTAAGTTACTATGGAGTACTCAGTCCTAAAAGGAACATCTAAGTAACCTCCCTCCCACCAAGGCTCAGGGGCATCATGGAAGAAGGGGTAGGAAGATTATAAGAGCCAGAGCTAGAACTGCTACGAAACAGTGTCTTCTAGACATGATGGGGCCATAAATGTGCACAAAACCAAATCAGTCAAATGCCCAGCATGGATGGAGGAGGGGCTCATGAAGTCCAGCCCTAGCTGAGGGGCTGAGACAGTTGATGGCTGTGGGGGAGGGAAAGTCCATTTTCTTCAGGGATATGGCCCACATTAGGTCTCCCACCTGCCTACCTACCTACCTACCTACCTACACACACACACACACACACACACACACACACACACACTGCTGGGCATGGCTGTGGGCATTATCTTGACTGTGTTTTCTGAAAGGGGAAGATCTGCCCACTGTAGGTGAGACCATTCCTGGTGTGGCTCCTAGACTATAAAAATGGAAAATAGGAGTTTAGCAGCATCAGGGTCACTCCATTTTGTGAACTTCATTTTGTTTGATTGGTAACAACTCCAGTAACTATAGTAATTTGATTTCTAGAAGTAAATTAACTCCTTGTATAGATTATTGGCTATTCTGCCCTGTGGACCACAGGAAAGACATTTCTTGATCACCTGACATTCTTTCCATCACTGCTCACCTTTCTCTAGTCAGCTTTTCAACTCCCTGCCCCCTCCCCCGCCCCTGCCTTCTAACTACCCTGAGAGGAAGCTGATGGCAGTCTGATTCTTGCAGAGACACCTCTGCAGGGTCTTCCCCCTGAATAAGCATGGGCTTGCACTGTCCTAAGTCTCATTGCCTGGCCTGTCTTTCCTTCTTGCTCACCCTCCACCTTGGTGACCCTCACACAGACGATGTCTATGCAGGAGAACCTGAGAGTCGGAGTGGGGTAAGCAGGGAGCAGGGCAGAGGCCAGGAAGATAACGGCTGGAATGTGGGAAACTTTGGACTATAATCCATCTAGTCAAGTCTCTTTGAATCTGGTAGTGCAATGTGTTGTCCTTTGTCCAGGAGCAACCACTGTCACAGGCAGTTCATCCAGGCCATGTTGCAGAAAATTACAAGACATTTAGGCTTAAGAGAAGTGTTTAGTCCCAGGGCAGATCATTTTATTCTATGTTTATAAAGGTTTTGCGCACGTATCTGTCTGTGTACCCACATAAGCCAGAAGAGGGTGTCAGATCCTCTGGAATTGGAGTTGAAGTTACTTGTTAGCCACCACGTGGGTGTTGGGTATCTAACCTACGTTCTCTGGGAGAGTAGTCAGTACTCTTAACCACTGAGCCAGCTTTCTAAACAAAGGGCAGACACATTTTTAGGAGACAGGCCAGTGGTTCTCAACCTTCCTAAAGGATATGGCCCCTGTTGGAACTGCTGGGAGTGGGATGGAGGGACAACGTCTAGAACAGAATTAGTCTGAAAAAACCCATGGAAGGGAGGGCTGTAGATTGGGAAAACAGACAGTTCACTGTCCACTTAGAGTAGAGACAGTTACATGGGGGCAAGTGGGGGTCAAAGACATCCATTGCCAAGGATAATCAAAGAATGGTGAGTCAGACACTATGAACTAAAGGGTGATCCCAACTATCTCTCTGACCCGCATCTGTCAAGGGCCTTGGAGGTAGGAGGGGGCACAGTAGGAAAAATAAATCTGGAAGGCTGGTTACTGTATTTTGGGTAAAATGCCATCACTTAACCAAAACAGAAACTTCTCAAACTGGTGTGACCATGACTACCAAGCGGCAGCATGTACTCATCCATCAAACTCTGTTTCCTGATTCTGGATGCCATGTGACCTTCAAGCTCCTGCCTGAAGTCTCCGCTATGGTGGGCTATACCCTTGAACTATGAAGCAGATAAGCCTTTTTCTCTCTGAAGTGGCTTTTGCTGTTTGTTGTTTTAAACAGCAACAGGAAGAGAAACTCAGACAGTACAAAATCAACTCTAAACATGCCAAATTGGCTTTTGATGCTTTTACTTATTTTACAAATGTTCAGCGAAGGCAAATGTTTGCCAAGCACTGAAACAAGCTAAGCAAAAACCAGGTCAACTTGTACAGGAAACAACCAAGTAACAGTACCAATGTCCAAGGGTGCTGAACATTCGATACAATAGCAGCAATACACCCCAAGGCTGAACTCTGTAAGCTGGGGCTGAGAACACAGTCATGCCGGACAGAAAAAGGAATCTGGAGAAGGTTCCCAACTCACATATGAGCTCAGTTGTGAAGGACAGAGCAAATTTCCACAAGCCAAGGAAAGAAAGAACTTACATAGGGAGAGGAGAAGCTTCCAGAAGAAAAGTGGGCACACTGCAGGTAAAATGCTAAGTACAGCAAAGGGAGTAAGACACAGTCACAAAAACCCAAGTGGGAGGACAAGACTGAGGGACAGCCAGTCCTTCCTGATGGAGGTATGGATCTGGCCCTTTGAAGACCAGAACGGCACTCGAGCGTTTGTCTGTTTAGTCTACCTCTTCTGAGATTTTAAATCTGTAAGATGCAAACATAGTACAGTGCTCTCTGCACGCTGACCTCAGTCACAGCCACTTACAGAAATTTGCAAATACCAAACACAGGAAACTGATGATGGCATAGCACTATTAACCACTCTGTAGACCCACCCTGAACTTCAGCTGTTGATAGTTATTTGTGTGTATACGAGGGTGTACAGCTCTGTGAAGCTGAGCCACAAGCACAGACCCCATCGTCATCACAGTTAGGACACACAACCACACCATCACTCCAAATGTCACATCCTCCCTCAAACATAAGACCAGCAACAACACTCAATTGTTCTCTCATTTTTCTCATTCCATAAAGGTAAAATAAATAAAACTATACCCCTGAGTAACCTAGTCATATTTGGCTTTTTCCCACACACACAGAAAAATGTATGACGAGTCATTGAAGCTGGTCCACTTACATTCTTGACAAACACCATACCCACCTCCCAGACGCTCTCAGTCATCCACTACCCACTAGAAGATTCCATTGGGCTGGGGCCATAACTCAGTGGTGGGACACTTGCCTAACAAATGCAAGGGTCCTGGATTCAACCACCAATACTATTACAGAAAAAAATAAAAAAGGATTCCTTTAGCTGAAATATGTACGCTGGACCACTGGGCAGAGACAGCACTACTCACGGGTACAGAAGAAGTTCAAATAAAGTCTGCCTATACCCTACACTAGGGATAACCATAACCTCATACCCCCTAGGGTTTCCATGACAACCTCTGGTTGTCACAGGGCACTGCTGGTTAAGAATCAGGTAGTGTCTCAAATTCCCATAATACACATCCCCTCAACCCACAAGAATCATATGTCTCCAAATATCCATAATACCAGGTTGACATTGTAGCCTAAACTAAGGTTACGATGGAGAGGAGAAAGGAGACAGACTTGAGAAGCATTTAGGGGTAAGACTCAGTGAGTGCCATTAAGGATAAGAGTGGGGAGGCATGAGATACACAGTTGGCCAGACAGATGACGATGCCAACAGGTAGGACAGAGAGCTCTTTAAGAGGCCAAGGAGTTTGACAGTGTCTCTTTATTTGGGGCGAGGGGATCATTACGTGCTTCCCCTCTAACTCAGCAGGGTCAAGTTCCTCGAAACACCTGAGAAGGAACACCAACTGGGTCTGGAGTTCACAAACCACCAGTGTCATCAATGTACCAACAGTTTCTGATACGGTATCTGCACCATCTCTCCCAAGAAGGGTATACCAAGATAAAGAGACTACGACTTAACGCCAAACCTTCTTTCAGTTATGTGACCAACTGACCGGCAGACAATAAGAGCGGCAGAATGACACTGTGGCACTCAGAAGGCAGCATTTCAAGGTAGGACTAAATGCTGCAGAGAAGCCAGGAGGGGCACTGTGGATGGTTCCATGGGTTTGCTATACTGCAGACCATCTTAGAGCTGTTTCCAAAGATGGGAGGCTAGGGGATGGCTAGGAGCAAACAGAGGAGTAGGAAGAGAGACAAGTATGAACCCCTCCAAAGCCTGGCTGTGAAGAAAGATGGAGCATTCAAGAGGCTAAATACGGGCATATTCTCCACCGGGCATATTCTCCACCTGGACAAAGACACACAACCTGGGAGAAAGGCTCCTCAGCAGACTGCACCCCTTTCTGCCAAGGTCCCTCTTTCATCTCTCAGCCAGGCATAGCCTTGAGGCGGAAGCTATCTGATCCTTCTCACAGCCAGGTCCTATTTAAAGACAAAACTGGTCTCTCAGCAAATGCATGGGCAAAAGAGCTCACCTGAGATAATTGATCAATTTCTTTCAGCCCTTAAAAGCTCTACGGTTTGAGGGATGACTTAAATACAATACTGAAATAAACTAATAAACTTCGCAGATATAAAGGAAAAAAAGAAAGAAAAAGCCTTGTAGGATAAGCAACACAGAGGATCAGTTGACGGAGTTTTTGAGTAACAAAAGTAGTCTGAATGCATCAACATTACGGGGGGGGGGGGAAGAGATGGAAATGGCTGAGAAGATTAGTCCTCAGGCTCTGATCAAACCGCTCCTCGAATCCGCTTGCACCTACTCAGGTCTGCTTTTAGAAACTAGATGGCTACTTTTAGGAAAAGACGAGAGTGGACTTTTGACAGATTCAGAGCATCGGAAGCTATTCCTATTGATCTTATTAATGCCTCGAATACTAACAGACAGAAGTCGGCAGTCTGTCATTCTCTGTGTGGAACCCAAAATAAACTTCCCTAAACACTCGGAGATTCAAACATTGCTCACACAGCACTGGAGTGCCAAAAAGTGTCAGGATCGCGGACGGAGTCAAAGACAAAAACTATTGCACGTGAGATCCTGCCATTTAGGAAATAAGCAATCCTGAAAACATGACTGAGGTGGGTCCGGGTTGAAGGGCCCTGCAGGGCGGCGCTGGACACTCGCGCGGATCCCAGGAGAAGACGTTGCGACCCACCAGGGCCGGTGGCCTGGGCAGCCAGTGCCACGTCTGCAGGCCGGGCTGGGCCGGGCGAAGGTCCGCGGGCCTGGACACCCGTGCACGCGGGGGAAGGTGCAGGCCCTGGAGCCTGGGTCGAGGCCGGAGCGATGCGGGGATGAACCCTGCTCTCCCGACCGGTGTCCCCGCCGCCCGGAGCCCCCACACTCCGCCGCCGGCCCGCCCACCTGGGGCTCGCCGGTTCCCGTCGCCGCCACGCGAGTCACCGCCGGGCCCGCGCTCACCTGGGACCGAGCGAGCGCCTATGCGGAAGCTGCCCACGCGGGTCGGGGTCGGTATCCGGAGTGTCCGGCGCGGAGATCCGTCTGGCCGAGGACGAGGAAGACCAGAGGAGCGCGCGTCCCGCGCCAAGATGGCCTCCGCGCCGCCCCGCTGCCACGTCGCCGCCACGCCCCGCCACGCCCCTCGGCCGGCCTCCGCCGCACCGCCCCACACCCACTCAGAACCGGCCCGGGTGCACCTCCGCCCACGTCGTTCTGTCCCACCTCCCGGTAAGGCAGTGATCAAAGCCTTCCATGTAGCAGAGGTTGCCTCCCGAAAGAGGTACTGGGCACTAGAAAGGTGGCAAGTAACTTGCCGATTTTCTTCTTAAGTAATGCACATTATTTTATAGTTAAAAAAAAAATCTAGGGCCCGGGAGTAACTGCCTTATTTTATAGACACCTGAAACAATTAGTGTACAATAACCCGACGACATGTTAAAGAAACCAATGAACGAAGTGTAAAAGGAAAAAAAATTCACAATCAGAAATCCTAATTTGGATCTAAAGACCCCTTTCTCTGCAGCATCCCCCTATACGAACGACCTAATTCTCCTCATTTCCATCTATAAAATGGGAATGATATTGTCCAGCACTCACTCAGGTAGGTACCAAAGTCAAACAAAACAAGATGAATGGAAGGGCCTTTTAAGCCTCCTAGTGTTCACTATATGAAGAATTACAGCTTTTGTTTTAGTTGGAAATTTTCATTCAGGGATATATTCACAGGTTTGAAATTCATGCATCTCTTGAACTTGGCAGCTTTAAACATTCTAGATTCCTCCCTGAAAACTAATGTCATTTAGCAGTTCCCTGACTACAGATATGACTGCAGCTACACTGGGTTGTTCCCTTTGTTAATTTATCCACTCAGAATGTGTGTAGGTGGCCCTTTAAACAGCTTTGTTTGGGGCGGTGCTGAAAGCAGATACCATCTCCATCCCTTTGACTCACACCCTAAATAGTTATAAGGTATGTTGATTTCTTCATTCATTTAGCAAATACTAATTAATGGCTGCAGTGTGCAGATCGTGACAATGAACAAGACAGGCAAGGTCTTAGTGAGTAGCTTTTCTCTGAATAGGAAAAAAACCCATGAACTAGAAAATCAACAAGACAACCTGAGTAATGTTGCCCAGACTGTATCCATACGACTATGTATGCACACCTAGGCATCTTGACCGTAGACCCTACCCCTACAGCGTCTGAAGAGTCCTGCCTGGTTATGCAGTTCATGAGCTGTGCACTCAGCGGAACCCATCATCATCTGCAACCAGGATCAACAGGGTCTCCCTCCCAGCTGTGCCCAGTCAGCCTTGTCCTCCATCCACCTGGGAACACCTTTCAGATACTCCTATGAGCATTACAAATATTCAGAACTGTCCTACGAATATTTTAAATGAGGTCTATTTGCTGTCATTTAAAAAAGCAGCGCGTGAGAGAAAGATGCCGTGAGACAGAGCCTGGGTGGAGGGTTTTCGTTTTTTTTGTTGTTTTGTTTTGTTTTTTAATTGGAGGAAAGTGAATGGGGAAAGGGGTGAGGGGAGAGGTCTCCAGGGATATCCACTTGCTCCTCCTCCCCAACACTAAGATTACTGCTGTGCACTGCCACACCAAGCTGCTTTTTTTAAGGTGGGTTTTACAGATCAAACTAGGTCTTTGTGGTTTCGAGGCAAGCATTTTACAGACTGAGACATACCCCAGCCTCACCAGTAAAATGTATTATTTTAGCTGTAAGGCTGAGAGTTCTGTGAGGGTAAGCTATAATGTGAAAGTGTCAATGTCTGATGTCTGTTTACTTCCCCCCCCCCCCCAAGGATCATCATCATCACAGTTTCACTCTATTTGCCTCGACAGACAAAATAATTTATCTTTACAGAATACATGCTTACAAAAAATTTGTTATACTGCCTTAGCTGGGACTATCAGAAAATAACCAAGATAATCATCTTAGAGGAGACAAGATTTATTTGAGCACATGGTTTCAGAGATGACAAGTCAGGGTCAGTTGGCACTATTGTTCCTGGGCCTGGGACACAGGGTGGGCAAACAAAGATTAACTCAGAACAGCTGAGAAGCAGGGGTGGCGGTAGGGTGGGGTAGGGTAGAGGTGGGTGGGGTTGGAGTGGGCATGGGGTGAGGTGAGGGCAGGGTGGGGGTGGGGTGGGATGAGGGTAGGGTGGGGGTGGTAGACTCTAATATCCCATTCAAAGTCACCCTGCCCTGTTTTGCTTCCTCCAACAAGCCCCTCCTCTCTAACAAATTGTCCCACCTCCCAGGAGCTCCACAGGCTGTTAGCCAAACTCACCTTAGCACATGGCACTTGAAAGACGGTTTTAGATCCAAACCCTAACAGACCCTTTGTTTTCCACATGGAAAAGAAAGGTAAAGACCCAGTCTCACCTTGAATTCTAGACTCTTCTCTTGTGCTACAGCTTGCTCCCATCAGCCCCAAGAACCTGTTCTGCCAGAGGCTGAAGCCATGTGTCTGACCTACTCCGGGTCCCTTCACCCAAAATGTGCATTTCCCTTTGTGTCTTTTGCTAACTTGCAACTCTCAGCTTTCAAGCCCCGCCCCTCCAGTCCCAGAGTGACTTTCCTTGAACACCCAGCTCCTCCCCCGATGTGACAAGATAAGTATTTGCTTGCTGTTCTTTCACATTAAGAAAACAAGCTTCAGGGACAGGTTTGTCTGTTTTGTCCCCCATCGTATCCCCAAAGTCAGTCCCCACCCTCAGCAGGCACTCTTTGTTAAAGGAGTGTGTCTGAGCAGCTTGGGGATCAGCAAACTCCATCAGAGTCCTGCAGCCTCGGCTGCAGGCTGCTCTTACACGCATTCCTTCCAAAGACTCACAGTTGTGATTAAGGCTGATCAAAACCGTGACTTCAGAGGCAGTTTGCTTCCTCATTTTCTTCATATACATAGAATTCTTGTCACTCAGTGTGAAGCCGTTACACTTGGCCTCAGATCTGGGATGGAGGTTAAGATTCCTTAACTAATTTGTCAGCATAGGTAAGTGACTTGTGTTCGGGTTAAGTTTTAGATGCCATACTTACTGGAAATATTTAAAAATAGTCACACAACCAGTGTTTACTGAGTAAAGGTCTATGCTAGAAGGTAAAGCCAGCAATAGCACAAAGTCATTCCTTCCTCTTTTTTCTTCTTTGTCATTGCTTTTCTAAAAATTTTAGTGGTTGAAAATTTCATACAATGTGTTTTGATCTTATTCACCTTATGTCCTCTAACTCTTCCCAAAGCCCCCTCTCCCTTCCCTTCTCATTTGGCTTTTTCCTTTGTTACCCTAACAAGGCCAGTTTGTGCCACCAGATACTCTTGGATGTGTGACCTTCTACTGTAGCATGGTCAGCTCATCAGAGGCTACACTGTTAGAGAAAGCTAACCCTTCTCCAGTTTGTCAATAGCTCCTAGGTGGGGGTGGGGAGATAGAACTCTGTGCAGCTTCTCTCTCCATGCTAGAACTTGGTCTGGCTTAGGCTTGCACACAGGTCGTGTGCACACTGTCTTAGCTGAACTTAGTAGAGTTCATACTGGCAGCTGCCCCGCTGTGTCCCAAAGACACAGTTTCCTTGTAACTATCAACTTGCTCTGACTCTTACACTCTTTGTGGTCCCTCTTCCACAGTGATCCTTGAGTCTTTAGAGAAGGGGGCACAGTATGCTTCAGAGGGTAAAATATATATGGTCTGTTTAAGATTGAACATTCTACTGATATGGATCTGAAAAGCTGCATCCCTTTTGACTAGATTTCATAGAGTTGGAAGGCACTATGCAACCTCCCAAGGGAGAAAGATTAATCCTAAGTCATATCTAGATGTGAACTCTACAAGCTACAATAATGACTGACCAGGCAAGATATTCCTATGGTGCAGTAGAGGCATGAATGTCACAGAAACAACCAACTGCTTTCTGATTGGGTTAAGGTCTACTCCACAAGATGAAACTCATACCTGGCACCATGACCAGAGGCCACAGACTGTAAGTAGAGGACCTACAATTATTATTCTTCTAGGAGAGAATTTAGTACTGCTATTATTCCGCTAAGTGGACACTGTATTAAACTAAACACCTAATGACTTACACTTATACTGGTAGATTAAGGAATCTCCCAGCCCTTATTAGAGAAGCTTTTGTTTGCAGTAGACCATTGTCAGTCGATACAGAGACTCATAACTGGGAAAGGGACACAGATTAAGGGACTGCAGAGTGTTTAGACCTGCTGTCACTGGCCCGGAGCCTTGCCCTGCTTCATATTTGTTTAATTTGTTTATCTTATATCCAGCTGCAAACCCTTTTTATCTTCCTCAGTACTTTGGACTCTGTTTTAACCCTTAATCTTTTTATGGACGTCAACCTCTGTTCTCACTGTGAACAGTTTTCTTTTTCACTGTGGACCTCTTCCTTTACCACCTACAGAGACCCTGCTGCAGCATTGTCAGTATGCCTTATTCAATTTCAGCAGTAACTGTCACCATCTCCTTACCTCAAGAGTAATATTCACCTTATTTATTTGTTTTCAATATTTTCCGTTGCTCACAGTTTTGTGTACATGGGGTCTGGTCTCCTTTAAAGCCTTGCTTCCTCATTACTCTTTCTAAAGGCCTTTGTATAGTCTCTGCCTAGCACACACATTGGTTCTGTCAAGAAGTTCTAGCGGGAGTTGATAAGCATGTGAATTGGGAACATATTGCAATGGAGTACACTCACTTGGCCTCCCTACATGACTGTCTTAGTTAAGTTTTCTATTGCTGTGAAGAGACACCATGATCACGACAACTCTTATAAAGGAAACATTTAATTGGTGTGGCTCACTTTCAGTTTCAAAGGTTCAGTCCATTGCCATCATGATGGGGAGCATGGTGGCATGCAGGTACACAAGGTGCTGGAGTAGTAGCTGAGAATCCTACATCTTTCAGACAACAGAAAGTTGACTGAAACACTGAGTGGTATCCTGAGCTAGGAAACCTCAAATCCTATCCCCAGTGACACACTTGCTCCAACAAGGCCACACCCACTCCAACAAAGATACACCTCTAATAATGCCACTCCCTATGAGATTACAGGGACCAGTTACATTCAAGC